TTTAAAAGTACCCCGCCCCCGCGAGCACGCGCGTCGCCACGTAAACACGCGTCGGGTGCGCCTACGCATGAAAACGACGAACGCGCTACACGTTGGGTATCGCCGCGCACGCCGGAGTGAGAGCAATAATTCTAGGGCCAGTATTTTGGGGTATCTCTAAATTGATGACCTGTGGGGGCTTTTAAAGTGTCTTTTATTGATTTTTTGGGGTACTGCAGTTTTTCGCCGTTTCACGGTCGCACGCAATCTGTAAACTGGGCATGTTGGGTATCGTTTTACTCGTTGTAACCTCATCTTTTATATTTCATTAAAAAAATGGGTAATTTGTTGTGTTTTGGGGCATTTAATTAAATTTGTCACTAAATTTTGGGGTTTAATAAGGAGTTGCGCTAATATTGCGCAACATAAAAATTTTCAACTACCACCATTTTATTCTATAGGGTCTTGGCATTCAGAAAATATATAATGTTGGGGGGTTTTACGTCATTTTCAGGCCTAAAATGTGGAATATAACATGGGTGCAAAAATGGAAAAAAGGGCCTCAGTCATGAAGGGGTTAATGTTCCCGCTTTTTCTGTAATATACATCCTAGTTAAAAACCGTTGCCAGTGGGACTGCCTCAGCCAGCAGCATCTGGACCCAGGAGCGTGGTCCTACATCTGGAGGTGTTCCAAGATCTGTGTTTCATGTGTGGAATGCCAGATGTGATCCTCCTGGCTTCCAGGTTCAACAAATTGGACAGGTTTGTCTCCAGGTGCAGGGGTTCTTTAGCAGAGGAAGTGGATTCTGTGGGATCACTACACCCTGATCTATGCCCTACCTCCCCTGAAGCTTTTTCCTTGTCTGCTTCTCAAGATCGAGGGCATTTCAGTGATCCTCAATTCTCAGGACCCCGCCCCTTCGCTGCGAACAGCTAGGACAGTTTCCTTACTTTGTCTGAGTCACGGCTATCTTCCTAGGAGTTTTCTCTGTGAGAAGAATCCTCTCCTTCCGGGAGATGGGTCTGGAGCAACATTTGGTTCTTTGTGCTTAAAGGAAAAGTTCTACCCAGTGTATCTGATTTCTTAGACGGTTGAAGTTTTACTCCTTGATTTATACTAGGTGTGCCGAAATGAACATTTAAAAAACGAAACCGAAATTTAAAAAAAGGTCAGACCGAAAATGTTTTTATTTTAACTTTTTCAAATTGTTTAAAAATACTTTATTTTTTATAAACTTTATTACATTTTTTTATTCATTTTTTTTTAAATTAAATTTTTTAAACTTTTTAGGGGCTTCAGGGAAATATCAGGGGGCTGTTTAGACCCCTAATATTTCCCTTTTTAAAATAGAAAAAGAGATTGAGGACACAGTCCTTTTTTTTTAAATCTTTTTCTGCAGCCATTGTTATAAATGAACAGGAATCCTCTATACTGGGTGTTCCTGTTCATTCATAACATGTGGAGATGGTGTGTTTTTACTATATCCACAATCATGAATGAACAGGAGGTGATGTAGATCACTTCCCATTCAATCATAATTGAGGATATAGCAAACATACTACAGTATGTCCTCAATTATGTACAAACACTCAGCGATCACTGACAGGGTTATTCACAAAAGGGTGAAGAGTTTGGAGAAGTGAACAATCTAGACCAAAATATCTCATTTGGAAAAATTCTCCAGTTCAGCTCACTTTCCAGTTCAGCTAGGTCTCCAAACCTTTGTGAATAACCCTGTGAGTGTTGGTACCCGCTCTCCTTCCTGACACACCGTTACAGGATACTGAGCGACCTGAGCTCAGCCTGCTGTGACAGCGCTGGCTGTCTCCGCCCCACACCGCTCTCCTCTGATCTGTGACAGGAGACTGAGCGGTGTGAGAGAGATGCTGGCCGCTCACAGCACTCGGCCGCCTGTGACAGTTTTCTCTGAGCAGCGACACAGAGCAGCGCCCAGCGGGGAGGAAAGAATGGATGCACCACTGTATTGGCCAGAAAATGGCACTTTCGGCATTAGTGCCAATGGCAAAAGTGCAATTTTCGGCCCATATCAGTGCATCCCTAAGTTAGACCTTTGTGCAGACACTTTACCATGTAGTTTCCCCTGTTTATTTCACTGTGACTCTGTGGGATCTGAATCTGGTTTTAGCTATGCTCTCTACTCACCCACAAGGTGGTGTTTCTTGTCTGTCACCGTTGTTAGGCAAGTGTTTGAACTGGCAGCCTTATCCTGCTAACAACTGTTTCTGGTTTTACGCAAGGAAATGGTGGTGTTGAGGCCCGGGATTTAATTCTTGCCTAAGGTGGTCTTGCCTGTACCTCAACAAGGATGTTGTGCTTCAGCTCATCAAATGGCATATCTTCTCCTTTTATCTGCATGCGTTCTAGGCCGAGCAAGTCTATCTTTGTCATAGCATCTTAAGGACTGGTTCGAACTCCATAAAGGTACTTTGGCTTCTTCTTCCGCCATCTCTAGGCGACTCAGGATATTTATTTATTGAGATTAATCCTATTTATAATCGGGTTGTGCAGTTTACTAGATCTGAGCATTCCTTGTTCCTTACAACATCAAGTCTACCACCATCAAAACAGCAGAGCTGAAGACATGTTCACTCTCCTGAGGACACGCACAAAGACTGGAGGCATGATTGTTGTAGGCAGGGTTATCCTAGAGCTGAAACTAATCGATAAAAATCAATTATAATCCTCCGTTCTCCTCCCTGCTGGTGCTGGCTGCAGCAGTCTGTGTCCCTTTCAATGCCCGCTGCTCTCTCCGCCTGTATCGGCAGAGGCAGCGGGAACACAGACCACTGCAGCCAGCACAAGAGAAGTGACTGCATTCTCTTGCTGCGGGCCCTTTCCTCCTCCGCTGCCGGTGTTCTATCAATCCCGAGGGATTGATAAAACACCGGCATCAAGTCTCCCGCCAGCGGCTGGAAACAATAGGCAGCCTGCTATTGGATATTTTAAATTGCAATAGCAGGCTGCCTATTGTCAATCAACAGACGAGGACCTGAAGGAGAACTTTTCTCCTGCTCTGCACAAACTGTTGGCACTATATAAATGCTTTATTATATATAT